GACAATGGTCCGGAGAAGGCAATAATTTAGTGAGCTGGCTGGAGCTCCAAGCCCAAACCTGAAGGCAGCCATTATAAACTGTAAACATGCACTTCGGTTCCACTTTTGTTCTATTTTGGTCTCAGTATGTAAAGAAATAAACTGGATGATGACAGGCAAAGCCTAGGCACTCTGATCCCCAGAGTAAAACTGATTCTGAAGAATTCCAAATCTAGGGGAAATTCTCTCCTAAAATTATACATGTCACAGTTTAACATTACAAATAAAAATAGATCAACAGGATTCAGCTATCTCTGAATTGAACTTCTTAGAGAATCAATGTTAGAACTACAGAATAGTCCAGACTTAGTCTCCAAAGCTAAGCCATTTGCCCACCTGATACCTTCTGGAGTCTTTTTTATTTTGTTTTTTATTTTTGGTGGGAAAGGGAGTGAAGCTGATATTGAGAGGTGCGCCATGCCTTCAGATGTAGCAGTTTTCCCAGCTTCCCACAGGAAGCACCCCGCGGTGGATTTCACACTTGGGGTACTGGGGTAGTGGGAAAACGTCCAGGCTGGAGGGAGGTGGGAAGAGGGAAGATCTGGATTCTGACCACCTGCTGCTGAGACGTGGATGGCACTGGGTGATTTACCTCCTAAATAGGCTAATCTGAAAAAAAACGATGATGTACAAGATTATATGTACATCATATAATCTTGTTTCTTTCAGCTCTAAGATTCTATGCCAGTGAATACAATCAGCTTAAGGAAGAGAGATAAGAAATTGCTATGACATAAAATAAATATCATGACATTTACTTGTCAGATAGAAAAAATAAAAATACTAGTAACACTGTCCATTATAATTTATTGTGTACTTGCCATGGGGGTAGATATCTAAATCCTTAAAATGCACTGACATATTTAATTCCACGACGCAGGTGCTATAATCCTCCATTTTCCAGCAGAGGCGACTGAGATCGGAGAGGTTCTGGAAAGCTAAGACCCACACATACTGCCTTTTGTCAAATTTACTGTATGTGACTCAAGATAGGACACACTGTTCAAAATGTAACTGCTGTATTTCAGAAACCACTGCATTTCTCGAGGAAGGCAGTGGTGCTGCCAGACTGAAACAGCCAAGCCACCAAGCGCTAGCTTTTCCCTTGGAAAGAATGAAGCGTTACATTATTTTTGGTATCCTGTCACGGACCAGTACCGATGTGGTTATTTCTGTTGAGTATTTGCGAGACTCGACGCCCCTGGCGTGGAACGGTCGGAAGAACCGGTTTTGCAGCAGGCTGCTGCATTTGGGTCAGGAAAGGATCCTGGTCCCAACGAGAGCGGGGCTCACGTTCTCGGAGCAGGCACAGTGGCTTAATTGTGCCGGTGGCAGCGTCACTGGCCCGCTGCTGAGCACCTGGTGCCTGAGGTGGAAGAAGGGCCGCCCTCGGTAAGGATTTTGCAAATGTTTATTAACTAGAACTCAGGGGTAATCGTCAGGTGCCGGACTTTTTACCAAGACTTTCCTCTCCTCCTTCCACAGCTCCCCTGGGTCATGTGGAGGTGCTTGGCGGGTGCTTAAAAAACACTTAACAACCACCTTATGAATACTTAAAACTTTTCTAAAATATCAATTAATATACATTAAGGGGTTAATTTAAATTATTCTTTTCTATCTTACTATCTATAGAATATTTTAACTTAAGACAAAATAAGTTTTAAACACCTAAAACGCAATTAAAATTCCTTGCCAGATCTTTTAGATGCAATGTGGAATATCTATGTCTCGGAACGAGGTGCATGCCCACGTGGCAGATTGAGCACGGCTGGAGTTTTAAAAAGAACCAAGTGGACAGCTCCTTGCTTCCCACTGTCCACCCAGCACAGCCGCCCGGCCACCCAGGGGGTGGAGCCTCGGAAGGCCCGGTGAGCCTTTCACTGCGTAACCGCCCCACATCCCCTGCGGGGCCTGGCCTCCCTGCTCCCCCACACCACGCTTTCTCCTCATGCTTTCTCTCCCTCATCCTGATCTGCCTTCTCTCCCCAGCCTTCCGTACCTGGTCCTCCACTGCACAGAACAGAACCTTCCGCCCTGACCGACAGCTGTCCTAATTAAGCCCAGGATTTTGGGGGGACAGCTGACGCTCACGTCATGGCCTCAGTGTGTCTCCAGCTCCTTGCTTTCGTCCTGGCCTTCTGCGGGGTCTCTGGAGTGCTGGCTGCCACCCTGCTGCCCAACTGGATGGTGAACCTGGACACGGGCTCCAACGTCATCACGGCCATCGTGCAGCTGCAGGGGCTGTGGATGGACTGCACCTGCTACAGCACCGGCATGTTCAGCTGCACCCTCAAGTTCTCCGTCCTGTCCCTGCCCACCCACGTGCAGGCCGCGCGGGCCACCATGGTGCTGGCCTGCGTGCTGGCCGCTTCGGGGCTCTGCACCTCCACCGTGGGGCTGCAGTGCATCCGCGTAGGAGGCGGCAGAGAAAGCAAGAGCCACGCTTCCTTTGCCGGAGGCCTCTGCCTGGTGACGGCGGGGATCTCCGGCTTAATCCCCACCGTGTGGTACACAAAGGAGATCATCGCCAACTTCCTGGATCTGACCGTCCCGGAGAGCAACAAGCACGAGCCGGGAGGAGCCGTCTACATCGGCTTCGTGGCGGCCTTGCTGCTGTTGGTGTCTGGCACCGTTTTCTGCACGTTCGGCCTGAAGAAGGACTCGGAGGCGTGGCCCCCGCCGCCCAAGCAGCAGCACCGCCCCGCCAAGCCGGAGGGCAGCTCCGCTTACCACCTGAAGGACTACGTGTAAAGCCGCGTGTCACCACGCGGAGCTCCTAGGTGCTGCTGGGACATGGTCTCTATTTTAAATTCACACACACACACACACGCACACACACAAAGATCATGCTTAACTTTCTCCACAAAGATTCTAAATACTTGAAAATTGGCAAGATTATTTAAAATGCTAACCAACTCTCATGTACAACTATACCTGTTTTTTAAGATTGTTCTTCCATCCCTGTTTTCATGGGTTATCTAAAAGTTTATGATTGGGAGAGACTCTGATTATATTAATAAGGCAATATATTGATAGCTTTTCTCCCTCTTTAAGGTGACCTGTGGATACATTTCTTAATTGGGACTTACCTGGGTTTTAGAAAGGAATTAAACTGCCGGGCTTGGCCTGGTGTGAGGTCAGGGCCAGCCTGCGTTTGCAGTCTGGGAGTGACCACAGGAGCTGGCTTCTGGATCCCAGCGGCGCGGCCCAACCAGCCACCCCAACTCCCTCTCTACTGGGAACTCCCTGACCCTTTTTCCATTTTAGAAAAGTGTCTGCATACATCTGAGAACTGACAAGGTGACGCCTGCAGATGCGGCGGGACTGAAGGAAGAACGCTGGGAGACCACCACAGCGAAGCCACGCCAGACCGGACCCGGCCCTCTGGGGCTTGAGACCCGAGGGAAAGCCGCTGCTGACGGGTTTGTCGGAACAGGCTCCAGGGGCCCCGCCTGCTGCTGGCTAGCGGCTTCTCCAGGTGAAGTCACCAGACTCAACCTAGCCCAGCTCCTCTGCTCGCTCACTGGTCAGTATGTGGATGACAAAGCTACCTTTAAGTTGTCATTTCGTTCTCAGCTTGACCATATTAACAAAAGCATTTGAGTTAATGGGGCGTGCAGGTAATTCTTAAAGTATAAAGAATGCTTTAAAAAATACAAGTTGAATTATCTTGAGTACTTAAAATATTTTAACAAGAAAATAAAAACTGAACTTTTTGATGTGCAAAAGAAACACTGCAGTGGTTGTTCCTTGTAACTTGTTAGTTCAAGCTCGGTCACTGCTCACAAGATAATGGTAAATGGGGAAAAAGAACATTTCTTCGCATATAAATAATTCAGGGATGAGAAGGATACCTTTTATGTGAGTAAAGAATGTTCATTTGCTCATACAGAGGTAGAGACTAAATATTTTATGCCTATTTCATTCTGTGGATCATCTTCTCTTCTCCGACAATGTCATCAACTACTGACGGAACACTGAAATGGAAAGGCGCTCTTTCACGTTCGGATTAGGAAGGTAACCGCTGAGAGAGAAGTTTAAATGACTTTAAAGCATGCATTCCTTCTGAGTGGTCAAAATATTTTCTAAACAGGTGTTTTAAAAATACGTCTAATTAAAAGAAGATCTTAATGCAGATTAATGGGATAGGATTGCTTTGACATCTATATGGTTCTTTCATTTTGCTTAATGTGACTGGCTTTATATGCAGTCTACATACCCAATAGTCCTATACTAACAGTTTACTTTATATCCTATACAATAAAGAGCTCACTGCTAATTAGACCTAACAGCAGAACGACTGTCTGGACGACCTTCTGGACAAAGCCGGGTCTGTGAGGGCCGGCCGAAGCTGCAAGGGCCGAGCCCCTTGCATGAATTTCGTGTGCCGGGCCTCTAGTATTCTATGCAAGTGTATATATACTTAAAAAAATAATTTGTATTTATTTTTGGAGTATTTTCTTCCTAAATACATACAGGAGTGTTTTGAACTCTCAGAAAAGCGGCCATTTCATGCAGGTAACACTACCACACTAAGGTCTCTCCAAAAAATGGAAAAAACATTCGTGATAAAGAAGACTGATGTAACTTTAGCTAATATTCTCTAACAGAAATCACACAAAAAAACACTGACTTCTTTTTTGAGGACTAGATGACCATACACCTTTATCTTCCGTGCTGAAATAGTTCAAAGTGTGAAAAAGGGTAATAATAATAATACCTCCATGGCCAGGGCGACATGGATAAAAGTGGGCATTTGGTCATTCTAGATAAGAGGAGAGAAATTAGAGTAAGAATTGTGATTTTTATGGTTCTGATTCAGGAAGGTATAGGAAAACTCTGGTACAGTTTGCATATAAGATTAGATCCCAGAGGTCATTTCCCAGGACACATCCTCAGAAGAGCAATGAGTACAACTTAATCCTAGTTCTGGCGTAGTAAACACATCACCAGGAACTCACCTCCGGCTTGGGGACAAAAGCCCGGCCTGGGATGGTGAAGACGTGCTGGACGTGGCAGAGGTACTGGGCCATCACGGACAGGCGGCTGCGCTGCTTGCTCCCCGTGCTGGCAGCAAGTCTCTGGGAAAGACAAAAAGGAACTTCAGCAAATAACTAACCCAGTCTGGTCATAATCAGAGCATAAACACTGACAGAAAATATAAGAGTAACTCAAATGTGAACTATGCTCAGCCATACAGCAAATCAGGAACAAGCACAGGAAAGCTGCAATGAGATAAAATTTCATTTCCACAAGATGAACAAAATTCAAATGGCACGAAAGAGAACCTGGGCGAACTGAGTGCTGGTGAGTACTTGGAGCAACAGGAACTCACAGTGTGTGGGGAAAAGGAATCGGTACCAGCACTTTGGACCGTAACTCAGTAATATATATAATACATTAAAGCTGAAGTCAAGTCAACCCCCATGATCCTTCAGGTTCACTGTTAGGACTTTATCTTAGAGAGCAGTTTATACAATTATTCAAGGAGATGTATGTAAGAATGAATGTTCACTGCAACATTAGAGGTAATATTAAAACAGTGGAAAGCGAAGGACCAGCACAGGTGACTGCATAAGTAAACTGTGGTAATTCGACAACAGTAAACTATCAATAACAGTTAAAGTGCACAGCAATGATTACCAAGACAGATCCCCAAATAGAGTAAAAACTAATTAAGTCCAGGAAATATGTATGACTTTATTTATATAAAAACTTCAAAAGATTACTTCTCAGTTTGTTTGTGTGTGTGCGTGTGCGTGTGTGTGCGTGTGTCTTTATCTGCAGTGCAAGAAAAAAACATACACAGGGATGATGAATAGAAATTTTAACAAAGTACAACTCATGGAGGGAAAGAAAGGGAATAGAAGAAGGCTCTAAACATATCTAAATTATTTTATTTCTTAGGGAAAAAATAGGAAAAATGGCCATATGTTAAGACTGGACAATGCTGAGCCTTGGGAATAAAAACATATTAGGCATAGCCCTGGCCAGGCGGCTCAGTTGTTGAAGCGCCATCCTGTGCACCAAAGGGCTGCGTGTTCGAGTCCCAGTCAGGACACGTACCTACATTGTGGATTCCATCCCCAGTTGAGGAACCTTTGGGAGGCAACTGATTGATGTTTGTCTATCACATCAATGGTTCTCTCTCTCCCTCCCTCCTTCCTCTCTCTAAAATTAATACGAACATGTCTTTGGGTGAGGGTTAAAAAATAATTAGGTATACTTCTCTTCCTAAAGCGTATCCTGCTTCTTTGGGCTCTGAGAGGTCACTGACATTGCACGGCTCTCTGAGACACAGGGTCATGGACGGAGTAGTCCCTATGGGCTAAGTCAGTGGTTGGCAAACCGTGGCTCGTAAGCCACATGCGGCTCTTTGGCCCCTTGAGTGTGGCTCTTCCACAAAATACCACGGCCTGGGCGAGTCTATTTTTGAAGAAGTGGCGTTAGAAGAAGTTTAAAAAATGTGGCTCTCCAAAGAAATTTCAATTGTTGTCCTATGGATATTTGGCTCTGTTGACTAATGAGTTTGCCACCACCGGGCTAAGTTGACTGTAGACTTTGTAGCATCTGTTTTGCTATTCAGAAGCCACCGCTCATCTCATCCTTTATTTTACAATGTCTGGCTCTTGTCTGTGTTTAGACAGTTGGAATTACTGGGAAGTTGAGTTTATGGCAAGTGATGACATGCTACAGTGTATCTGACAAAATAAACTCTTCCTGATTATTCTCAATATAAAAAATATAGAGACAAAAAAATGGAAGTACAGATTTAAGTTAAAAACTAAGCTCAGCCCTGACCAGTTTGGCTCAGTGGATACAGCGTTGGCCTGCGGACTCAGGGGTCCCAGGTTGATTCCAGTCAAGGGCATGTACCTTGGTTGCGGGCACATGCCCAGTTGGGAGTATGCAGGAGGCAGCTGGTCGATGTTTCTCTCCCACTGATGTTTCTAACTCTCTATCCCGCTCCCTTCCTCTCTGTAAAATAAAATAAAAAACTAAGCTCAACTGGCCAGAAAAAAAAAATAGTGCTTGATTTTACCCCTGGTAAAAAATTAACTGAAAACGCACTGTGCAAACTGGCACAATTCAAAGCAGTTAGATAAAACTAAACGCTACCATGAGCACAATCACAAAATTAGAATATAAGCCAAAAAGAAATATCGAGATTTTAAAAAGTATTATTTCATCCTGGATTTCCTTCCAATATGTCACTTTACATCTGAAATGTATGTTTCCACAGATGAATTCAGAATTTAAAAATCACTTTAACCAAAAAGCAAACCAGTGAGGCACAGAGGGTGAACTAACTGGATATGGAGACACATCTGGGCCTGCTTCTCTTAGAAGGCCATGTGTTCTTTCCCGCTGTCCTGACCTCGCAGCCAATACAGCCAGGGTGTGGGGACGAAACCTTGCGAACCATATGGCAAACCAATTTAGAAGAAAGCAGCACCTGTATAGGAAAAATTCAACCTACGGACCAAAGAGCTGGGCAAAGGGCTTCGGTAAAAGCTAGCCTAAGAGTTAAATGGCCCAATCAGCTGCTGGAGCATGAACTGTACTTCTGTGGTGTATATATTACTGGCAAAGCTATGAAAACCCAAGCTCCATTAGAAGACAGATGACTGCAACAGCAAAAGGCCAAGAAACCAAACCAGCTAATTTTTCACTAAAAGGAAATAGCTAACCTTTGAGCTTTTAAAAGCATTCCGAGTCTAAGGGAAAAAAAGGCGGGTCAAAGAATTTGCAAGGGCACTATTACTTTTCCCCCTTTTCATCTAAAACAATGTTAAGTACAAGGAGAAAGAATTGGCTCATGCTTGAGAAGTGAAACCACCACACATCAGGGCAGAGAGGAGGACGTAATGAATGAAGAGGTGGCTCCGTCCTGCTGGGGATGTGGCCGTTAACCAGCCAGGGTCCTGGCGATGGGGGGAGAGAAGAGGCTGATGCTGGACCCGGAAGGAAAAGACCAGAGGTCCAGCCATGGGGAGAAGCTGAACATCATGGCTCCAGCAGGACACGTGACCTGTGTTCAAGTTCAGCTTTCCCTGTGATGAGCTCACGGTCTTTCGGAAACCATTAAATTACCTGGAGCTTCGGTTTCATCGTCTATAACCGAAACACGAGGTTAGGTGAGATCTGTTAAGGTATCATTTATTGCAACCGAGTCTGATTCTAAACGCCCCTTAATGTGTGGGGGCTGAATCCAAACATTCAGGCCTTGCAGTCATACAGAGAAAGAAGAGGACCAGGCTCATTTGTTTTGTAACTCACAAAGCCAAACCAAGCAAGTGTTCAGAAGTGCTTTCTGTGAGTAAAATACACATTTTCAAATATGACTGTCAAGAGCAAAGAGAGGATATATAAGAAAAGGGTGCTATTATATTCTCCCACGGAAACTCCGGCATGCAAGATGTCAGTCAGAAGACCAGTGTTTCCCGTACTTCTAAAGCATTTCTTAAATTACAGACCCACTATAAACGCTTTTCAATATTCACACTACAATTCAACCAAAATCAACTTTCTTTGTTAAGAAAATAATTGCATGTGAAGTTGGAGCAGCACTGTTATTAACAACCACAACTGATACCCAGTCACTGAAAACTTCACTGCCCCTCTTATGCCTCTGTTCCTTGCTCTTTCTCCCCAAAGAATCAGAGTACACAGTATTTTGCATCTCTATGGTTATTCAAGAGCAGAAATACCATCATAATTGTGTCAGCTGAGAAAAAACATCCAAGGACAAATCCAAAGGGTGAGAAAACCAACACAGAAAATTGTTAGCCTGGCCTCAATCCAGACCAGCAGAAGAGACTTCACAGATTCACGAGCAGGGAAGCGATAAAGGCCTGGGGAGAGTGGGCAGGGCACCTTGGAGCTCCTATCAAACTCACACGGGTCTTATTACATTTTTGTGATGGATTTTATGGCCAAATACTCTAAGGCCTGGTCGGCAAACTGTGGCTATCGAGCCACATGCGGCTCTCTGGCCCGTTGAGTGTGGCTCTTCCACAAAATACCACAGCCTGGGCGAGTCTATTTGAAGAAGGGGCATTAGATGAAGTTTGAAAAAATGTGACTCTCAAAAGAAATCGTTGTGCTGTTGATATTTGGCTCTGCTGACTAGTGAGTTTGCCAACCACTGGGCTAAGGCAGGGTCTTTCAGTCTGGGCCATTCTCAGGCTGCAGCACGGGGAGGAGGCGCCCAGAGATCTCCTTGACTTGAGCAGACAGACTGGAGGTCAGGGAGGCCTAGCAGCCAGCACTCTGGGGCAGACACTGGAGGGAGGGGCCCACACACAGGGTGAAGAGTGGGAGAGAGCGAGGAAGTGAGGGAGAGCCCCTGAGACAATGCTCTTTAAGTCTTGGGCGAGCACAGATTTGCGTGCCTGAGGTTAACGGACTCCTCCAGGCTTGGCAGGCTGGAGAAAATACTGGAAAAGCAGGACGAAAGGAATTCACAAAGAACTGGAAAGAGTTTGCAAACCCAACAGCGGAAGTGGAGGGGCCATGAACACACAGGGCACTGGGCAGACTTCTCAGAAAGGTCCTGACTTGGTAGTGCACTTAGCCTCAGGTTAATCGCTGCTGTGTGGTGAATTTGAAGACACAGCAATTGGAACTAATTTTTTTTCGTATGGCAAATTACTAATTCTTTTCATAAGAGTTAACCGAATATGCATGCATTTGCTAAATGGTGTCTCTCTGCTGATTTATAATCCCATTGTTATCCTACACGAAGCTGCCTGGTTCCGGGCCCTCTAACCTCCCGTGGTCTGTCACGCTGTGTCCGGTGCTTTGATAAGAGCCTCACAGGCATTTTTTTTTTTTTTTCTTCTCTCAGGCAGTGTGACACCCGACAGGCAAGTCTCTCAGCACTCTTCTCTTCCAAAACGGCTTACCCATTCTTACAGGTCAACGTCTCCACGGGATCCTTGGAACTTACGGACGTTTTGAGATGTTATATAAACAATATATTTCTAAATAGGTAATGTTTTTTACTTCTCTTTCCAATAATGATATATTTTATTTGCTTCGATCCTTACAGTATTTAGTGTCTTGTATATTCATCACTAATTCAATCTTAAAGTCTCCCCAATGCTCATTATATGCAAACATGATAGGTATTTTTATGAAATTTCTGATCTGCTGTGATGTGGACTGAAGATCCCCTCCTCTCTAGTACTGGACCTTCCGTTCCCAGATTTCACACCATCTTTCTTCTGTGGCTCCAATCAGACCAGGGCTCGCACAGGCTATGTCATGCCGCAGGATGCTGAGGTCAGTGAGAGGTGACTTTCCAGTAAACCGTGCTAGGTTCACTGGCTCATGGGTAACTGTACTACTCTTGCTTTCCACTTCAACCATCCACAACCATCAAACCAAGTGGATTAGAGACATGCATTTAAAAGGTAAAAGATTAAAGCTTCTAGTAGACAAATAGCTTCATGGCCTCTGGCTATAAAAGTTTCTTCAACAAGACATAAACAGCACTAACCATCAATTTAAAGTTATGAACATCAGCCCTTCAAGACGCTGTAAAAAGAAAATAATAACATGCCACAGTAGAAGATATGCAACACATTTAACTAATAAAGGACGAGTGAGAGGAATATGTCAGACTCCTCCAAATCAACAAGAAAAAGACAAGCAACCGACAGAAAACTCAGTAAAAGGCACGTACTTCACAAAAAAGAGCTTACCCAAAAGGCCAATAAACATGTAAGAATCATTAAAAACCAGCAAAGACAGAATAAACCACAATGACACACCATTCCCCCAAATTGACCAAAAAAGGGCAAATTAGGCAAAAGCACGTACTGGCAAGGATATAGAACAAAATGAACTGGTGGGAGTACAAACAGGCTCAATGACTTTTGAGAACAATTTAGCATTAACTAGCAAAGGCGAGAATCTGCAGACCCTCCAATCCAGCTCTTCTATGTGCTATGGGCTCTGCCTGACATATACACTGTATGTATATAGGAATGTTCATGACAGTTTTGCTCGTAATAACAAATACTGAAACTATACAGGGTCTCCAGACAGAAGAATGGGCAGGCAAATTACAACACAGGCAATGAATGAGTAGTTTATATTATACTATATAATAGCAATATGAATGAGTCAGGATAAAGAGGATACAGGAGATAAACTTGCAGAGAATAATAAATCCCAAATTCACAGTGTTGACTACCTTCGCAGTAGGTGAAAGATAGGAGATAAAATCAGAATGAGGCATCCAAGAGTGTCAAAGATGTTGGCAATTTAATGATTAAGTTGACTTGGGCGATGGGGACTCGGTATTCTTTTTGTTAAGCCATACAAATTACATGGTTTAACATGTATTTGTATAATATGTTAAGTACTCTTGTATTTATGTCAGAACACAGCTTTGTAAAAACACTGATAGTCTGCAGATCCCCTCGCCTACCCTGTAGGTTAACTTTCTGGAGAGTGAACCTGGAACACAACTGCTGTGGGCATGCAGGCATGGCCAAGGTGGGGGGTTAAATGAAAGTCTGCCTACTGAGTAGTGAGCCTCCGACCCTCTCCCCTTTCTTAGCTCCGAGTTGATGATAACATTCTTTAGCTGCCATTCTATGAGGTCAACAAGTCAGTGATAGCAGGTCACATGCCAATCCCTCTGTGCTAGTGCATCACCACGTCGCCCAGGTTCTGCCTTTCCTTAGTTGAGCGGGGCCAGTTCCTGCATCCACCACATGGCCTCTGAGCGGGCAGCATGGCACTCCTACTCTGCACGACCCAGCAGTGGCATCTGCTGCCGCCACCACATGCTTAACTTTTGGTTGCGCTGTTGTTGGGTTTGTGTGTGTGTGTGTGTGTGTGTGTGTGTGTGTGTGTGTGTCTAATGGAGTATCAGCTTTAGAGAACACAGCCTGGCACACAAATGCAGTACTAGCTGGTCTTGGAATTCGACCGTGTGGTAAAATAGCCAGAAAAAAAATGAAAACTCACCTCCGCCACTTCCTTTTGGAACGTCAGCGTCATCTGGGTTCTACCATAAGCAAAAGGCCCATCGCGCTGAGAAACATTTTCAAGCCACTTGATTATGAGTGGAGTTGACACATTGAAAGGCAGATTTCCAATGATATGTACATTTGGAGGATCTGGTTGGCAGGAGAAAAACCAACTTGAAATGATTTCATCAATATGGTTTGAATATAATTTTAATTAAGCGTAAACGTCAAGCTAAATACATAGCATCAAATAAAAATATATGAAAAACTATGGTTGCATATTTTACACACCATTTATTCTTCAAAAGCAATGTTGTTGTTGTGTTTTTTTTTTTTCACAATCAGCTTTGAATTATAAGGGAAAAAACTTGTACCTAATTAGCATTCAGTCAGTGAAGTCCTCAGATTTTTGGCTCAGGAAAAAGATACACTAAGAACTGTTTTGAGGAAAGAGAATTTGCTTTGGACATGAAGAGGTCAAGGCTCCCAGAGGAACGTGCAGAGGGTCGAACGTGCAGAAGCGGACACAGCCTGCGAGTGCCTGTGACATGCAGGTGTAATCCAGGGAGGGGAACCCAGACAGGTCTGTAGCAGAAGACACCCGAGGGAGAGCTCAGAAACAGGTGAGAGGTGAGTGAAAAATAACCACCAGCAAAGGAGAGCTAGAGACAGCTCACAGCGACGTGAAAGGAGAATCGGGGGATGGCATCAGGGAAGGCAGGAGCAGCCACCTTCCCAAAGAGAGTGGGTAATGGTCGGAGGAACCGGGAGAACTGTCATGGGCTGGGGACACCGGGAGGTCACTGCGGTGGGACAGGGCAGGCAGGTGCTGACAAGAGCATGGGGTGTCGGGAAGCGGAGGGGCCAGCACCAACCACTGCGGGAGCCTGCCGTGGAGGCCAGACACATGGTGGCAGACAGATGGGGTGCACCAACATGGCCCCTCCATCTGTTCTACAGGGTTTTAAAGGCAAAAACCAGAAGTGCTGAAACAGAGGTTCTCAATAAAGTCTGAGAACGAAGAGGGCTGTGGCTGGTCACAGCGTGTGAACACAGTGGGAACAAAGGTAAAGGGAAGGTTGGGTGTGGCTTGGTTCACTAACACCCTTTCTGTTTTACCATTTGGAAAAAGCAACACCGTATAGCTCACCTCATGTGCTAGCATAAATATGACCAGTGTATCTGAGTAGAACCCAAAATATTTGAAAAATAGGACAAATAAATTAAAAATAAGAAAGAGTAATAGATTCTGTATTTTGGAAGAAAATAGAAAAGCAGAATAAAACTACAATACATATTACCTATTAATTGTGTTTGGATAATTTTTAATGTAAGTATATAATAACATCTGTAATATATAATAAAGTAAGTATTTCTACTATAAATAACAACAACAACAACAACAAAAATTCACTTACCAGCAAAGTCACTTACCATCCTCCCACTGTCGTTTAAGACTTTCTGGAAAAGCCCTTTCGACCTTAAATGTCAAGACGTCGCCATGGACAATCCTCAGCTTCCCCGGTGCTGCGTCAGAGAGCATCTAGTTCAGAAAGGCCAATACAATGAGCTCATACACTTTGTCAAATACTGAAACTAATGCTTTTACTTCATATCTATGCATTATTAAATCAATCTGAAAAGCCAGAGACTAATCATGACTGTTAATGAACTCATGTTCACAGTATCAACCGCAAGAGACTACAGTGGCATTTCACTTTTAACATATGAATGACTGGACAGCAACAGATAAAAGTATAAAAATAGCTTACTATTCAACACAGGATATTAACAATTTTGACCCTCAGAATGACTTGTGTTTCAGAATAGACTTAGCAAAAACTCAACTCCTATCTTTAAGTTTTTAAATTAGAAAGCATTTGTTATATATATATTTTAAGCATTTGTTATATAAAATATATATATATATATATATATATATATATATATTTTTTTTTTTTTTAAATCTTTATTGTTGGAAGTATTACATATGTCCCTTTTATCCCCCCACTGACCTCCTCTAGCCCACCCCTACCCCTCACCCCAGGCCTTCACCACCCTATTGTCTGTGTCCATGGGTTATGCATAATGCATACAAGTTCTTTGGTTGATCTCTTTCCACTCACACACCCTCTCCTGACTTCCCTCTGAAATTCCAGTCTGTTCCATGCTTCTCTGTCTCTGGGTCTATTTTGTTCATCAGTTTATTTTGTTCACTAGATTCCATATATCAGTGAGATCATGTGATACTTGCCTTTCTCTAACTGGCTTATTTCATTTAGCATAATACTCCCCAGGTCCCTCCATGCTGTTGAAAATGGTAAGAATTCTTTCTTTCTTTTTTTTTTTTTTTTACAGCTGTATAGTATTCCATTGTATAAATGTACCATAGCTTTTTAATCCACTCATCTGCTCATGGATACTTGGGCTATTTCCAGATCTTAGCTGTTGTAAATTGTGCTGCTATGAACAAAGGGGGTGTATATATCCTTTCTAATCGGTGTTTCTGATTTCTTAGGATATATTCCTAAAAGTGAGGTCACTGGGTCAAATGGGAGTTCCATTCTTAATTTTTTGAGGAAACTCTATACTGTTTTCCACAGTGGCTACACCAGTCTGCATTCGCACCAGCAGCGTACAAAACACTTGCCAACATTTGTTGTCTGTTGATGATAGCCATTCTGACAGGTGTGAGGTGGTACCTTGTTGTCATTTTGATGTGGATCTCTCAGATGTTCAGTGACTTAAAGCATTTTTTCATATGTCTCTTGGCTTTTTGTACGTCCATTTTGGAGAAGTGTCTAATTAGGTGCTTTACCCAATTTTTGATTGGATTGCTTGTCTGTCTTTTGTTAAGTTGTATGAATTCCCTATAAATTTTGGAGGTTAAACCCTTATCGATGTATCATTGGCAAATATGTTCTCCCATGCAGTGGGGTCTCTTGTCATTTGTTGATGGTTTCTTTTGCTGCGCAGAAGCTTTTTGTTTTGATGTAGTCCCATTTGCTTACTTTCTCCTTAGTTTCCTTTGACCTAGAATATATATTGGTAAACCTCTGCTATGAGAGATGTCTGAGATTTTGCTGCCTGTGGTTTCTTCTAAGATTTCTATCATTTTACGACTTACATTTAAGTATTTTATCCATTTTGAATTTATTCTTATGTATGGTGTAAATTAGTGGTCTGGTTTCATTTTTTTTATATGTACCTGTCCAATATTTCCAACACCATTTACTGAAAAGACTGTCTTTACTCCATTATATGCTCCTGCCTCCTTTGTCAAATATTAAGTAAGCATAATGGCTTGAGTAGATTTCTGGGTTCTCTGTTCTGTTCCATTGATCTATATCCCTGTTCTTATGCCAGTACGAGGCTGTTTTAAGAACACTGGCTTTGTAGTATAATTTGATATCCAATATTGTGATTCCTCTTTGTTTTTCTTTGTCAAGATTGCTGCGTTCAGGGTCTTTGTGATTCCATATAAATTTTTGGAATGTTTGTTCTAGTTCTGTGAAATATGATGTTGGTATTTTAATAGGGATTGCAATGAATCTGTAAATTGCTTTGGGTAGTATAGACCTTTTAGTGCTGTTGATTCTACTAATCCATGAATATGGTATATTCTTCAATAATAAAGATAAAAGAAAGACTCTCACAGTACTACAATGTTGGCACTTAGCTAAAAAGAGCCTTACAGCTAAGCCATCTATAAGTTCGAATCATGTTAGGTGCCTCTGTATCCAACACAAAATTTGATTTTTTAAAATTTATTTTCATTTTATTCATTTTTAAAAAAATTTATTGATTTAGTTATGTGACCTTATCCCCCCACTACCCCTACCCCTACCCTTAAACTTGAATCTTAAAGTCCTTGGTAAGTAAAACCAGATGCAGCCCCTGAGCTTATGAAGTTTAGAATGCAGAATAAATATAGTCAATGAGAACAAACATCGCTCAAGTAGATTACAAAGGAAGAGGCGACCCCCTTCCACATTAGGTCTCAGCTCAGGAGCTCAGAGAACCTCAGCTCCTGTTCAGGGAACTGTGGCCTTGAGCACCCCATGGTCTTGCAAAGCTCAATCCAAGCTCATTTCCTCTCCTAACTCTCTCCTTGCCTAACGCAGGCAACTGACAAGAAGGATGAAAGCAGCATCACAGAAGCCAGAGAAGGCACAGACCTCCTCTGGGCCAACACTGAGCCTGGCACATGCCTCTGCAGCTTATAGCACCCTACATCCCAATTAGGTGTCTGCAGGTTCTTCCTCCACTCCTTAAGGGCAGCACCTGTTTCTTTCTTTTTATTTTATTTTTACTTTTATTAACTTCAGAGAGGAAGGGACAGGGAGAGAGAGATAGAAATGTCAATGATGACAGGGAATCACTGATCGGCTGCCTCCTGCATGCCCCCTAGTAGGGATCATGTGCCCTTGACTGGAATGGAACCTGGGAACATTCACTCTAAAGGCCGTGCTCCATCCACTGACCCAAACCAGCCAGGGCGCACCTGTTTCTTACCTTCCTCAAGGTCCCCTGCAGCTATAACAGTACAGAGCAAGTACAGGTAAGTGCTAAGTGGATGAGCAGATGGCATTCAGTTTTTTGTGACACTGGAAACTTCCTTGCCTAGCCTGTAAGATTTGGGGTTCCATAAAGTTGTTAGGTCAGTTAGCTGTCAAAGACTTATTTCACTGATAACAGGCATAATTACACAAATAAAATGTTTCAGAAATATAGAGTTGAATTGTCTATATTGGTAAGAAGCTAAACATTTAAAGTTTGGGATTCAACTAGTTTAATAAATTTAGCCATGGCACTTCAGCAAAAATGATTGTGCACCTCTGATATTAAAATATATATGGATTATTTTAAATCACCACAATTTGTTAAAATTTAATTTGATGATTTCCAGACATGAAATCTTAGAAAACCTAATAACCTCAATCTATTATAAACAAAAAAGGAGATAGCTCTCTATGGAACAGGGTCTTACTGTACAAAAAATGTGTATTTAATGACAGCATTTACTATCAATGAAGAACATTAGAATTTTTCTGTAATTATGTATCACATAATTAAAACAAAACAAATTAGCATACCAAAAAACAAAGAGGCAGAACTAAAAGCCTATGTTTCACAATGCCAATATATAGAAAGTAATTAAGTAATTAGCAATTAAGACTCAGACAAAACAAAACAATGCAAACTAGGCTCCTTGGCATTAATTTACATGCTCTGATAACCATGCTTGAGATGTTAATTTTCCACATTGACACACCAAGCTGCAAGTCAGGAAGGTGATATAACACATTTACCTTCCTGTCCTAGTTCAATGTTACATTCTGTTATGTATGTTTTAATTCCCCTTAAGGCTGAAGTCTCCTTCAATGACAAACCAAACCTCCCGTTCTTTACAAGGTCTACCTCTCCCATGACAACTTAGTAGCCCGATCTTCCTCTTTCTCACTTCCTACTGCAGAAGGGATGAATGCTGGCGTTCACAGCTTTATGGCCAACATTCTGAATTACAGAATTCTGACTCTCTAGGGAAGTAATTATACCAAGTCTCCAGAGAGAAAATGGTTTTCCTGGCGGTAGCTTCTGTAAAGGGTAGATGGCACCACATAATGGAGCGTGCCTTTACTGAAAGGAGAAGACGAAGGCAGAAGTACCTGCACGTGGTCACTAAAACCCTCCCCTCTAACCGTCCAGGTCCTGGTGCACACATCCCGCAGGGAGTGACGATGGCCCACTGAGGTACTTCGCTGGTGACCTAATTTGATGATGAAAGAATTTATGTAATTCTTGGAACTTATGTACAATGATAAATCCCTTGAGAATTTAACACTGTTATCAAATAGCCATCTTGCACATTTTATGCCACCTTCTCTTGGTGAGGGGCCTATGGCAGCCAACACTGTACAGTGGGCTAAGCACAGGCCACACAGCTCAGGACCAGGGCCTTCCTCCTGGCACAGTAAGCATCCCCACGCTGCTGAGATAAAGGCTGGGCTAACTGTTAGGTAAACTATACGAGAATTAAAGAAACTATAACAGAGAATATGACAGGAGAAAATACAAATTTATTCTCATATAGAATACACAGGAAAGACAAATGCCATTTAAAAAAAAATTCAAGACGTTACAATAGACTTTTTGAGGGTGAAGAGTACAGCATTTCCAAAGGTCAGCTTGCTTTGCGTTTTAAACAGGACCAGAACATGTGTGGTAGGAACTCATTTACTCAGCCTCATGGAGGAATTAGATGTTTGACTTAGTACATTTTCTATTCAATGAACGTTTACTCCTTTAAGTGTTAGTGTTTCCTAAAAAGACATATATGGAAATCTTTATCAACTATATTGCTCAATTCTCTTCTTTAAGCCAAGTACAGTGAACCCAGTTTCACCCTCTTCTTGATGGCTTCTTCATTTCTGCCTGTAGAGTAATGGCCTCAATGGTTATGACCCTTATGACTGTGTCTCCCCCCCCCCCCATTTTTATATTTGCTTTTTATAGCTGTTCTGCTGCAGTAATAACTGTTACTTCTCACTGTTGTCAGAGGGTCTGCTCTGAGCACTGCTCTCTACACCTTTAACCTGAGGCGCAGTGGGCCAGGAAATCACTCTGCTGTAAGCCATCTTTTGTTTACTTGTTGTTTTGTCTATGTGATGATTAACATGGTTTTAATCAAGTAAGTTACATGTGTAACATCAAGTAAGTTACATGTGTAAATTACATAATCATCTCATAGCAGAAAGTCAAGCAGTCTTCCCTTTTAACAGTTTGCTAGAGATGAAAGAATTTCAAAATTTTATCATCTCTGATTAAAAACAGCTCCTTCTGCCAGGATGGCTATATTATATTTTATGTCCCTTTATAAGACCATGAGAAGGGGAGTAATTATAACAGCAACCACTGACTGGCTACTGCAATATATACCAGGCTCTTACATATTATACATTCCTGTCTATCCTTGCAATAACTACCAGAGGTAACTATTATTCCCAGATGGAAAAGCTGAAGCTAAAAAAGGTTCAACAATAAGCTCAAGGTCACAGAGCTAGTGGTACACCTGAGGTTTGAGTCTCCATTCTGTGAACTTCCCACTTTGTCTGTCAGGTAGAAATAACCACTCTGTTTACCTGTTTATAAAACCCAGAGACAATACCAACAATAATCACTGCCTTCCCATTTCCAAAATTCCACAAAATAAGCATCTAACTTAAAGGTTAAGAAGAATCCTAGAACTTCTGACCCTGGACAAGATGGACTGTAAGGGACCAGATATACTCTTTTTCCTTAAATAAACAATGGACAAAACAGTCGAAACAACAATACACAGACACTGGACATCAGAGAGCACAGGAAAGCCTGCAGATCCAAGAAGCTCAATGAACCCCATGAACAGGAAACATGAAGAAAATGGCACCAAGGCATATCATGAGGAAACTGCTCAAAACAGCAATGGAGAAAAATATAAAGGCCAGAGGAAAAAAGAGGAGCAAAGAGGAAGATGACAGATTCCTTGTTAGAAGCAACATATGAAGTCAGCAGCACAAAACCTTCAGAGTAGTGAAAGGACGTGCCAGGATGTTTTCCAAAAAATGAAGACAAAACAAAATATGTTTCAGACATATAAATGCCGAAAGTTACTTGACAAACGGATTCACGCTGTTATGAAATGCTAAAGAAAACCTTTCAGGTAATAGGAAAATGATACTAGATGGAAATACACACAAAATAGTAATCTTCTTAACAGAGAATTGACTTTGAAAAGTCACATTGTATGGTGAACTGTGTACCATATGGGGAAGTATGACAATGAGCATACGAAGGAGAGAAGTAGACTACTGCAGGCTTGTATGCTAACATTTGAAGATACACCGGGCTATGTGAAGACATAAGCCACACACCTCCCACAAGCCGCTGAAACACCAAACAAAGCGCTACAGCTATCTGATAGATAACCTGGAAGAAAACGCAGGAGAAATTCTAAGCCCCACTGTTTCCACAGCACTGAGGATTTTTTAGTTCAAATAATAACGTTACTTTTCTCCTAACCTCTTTCCAGGTCAGCACCTCCTGATCAATCCTTAATTAAAAGGGGTGTATAAAGCATGGGGTTAATAATTTAACTGATTAATTATATGAAAATCTGCACTAAATTTACTAAGTATGAAGTGTTCATTCAATTCTCATAACAATCCTATAGGCAAGATGACAGAGAGATCGGTACCCTCCAAGGTCACAGAACTAGTAAATGGTAGAGCCTGAAGCTGAACCCAGAGAGTCTGACACAGAACTGTACTATGATGCTTTCACGGGTTAGAAATGTTTCCTCCTCTACAACATGCCGATGCTGAGACCTACATAACCACCATGTTCTTTCCTCTAAGCTGCCTCCTGATAACATAAGAACTGAATTAAGCTACAAATGACACACACTTCTAACTATAAGACATTTTATAAATTATTACAATTTCTTTAAAAAGTAATTCTATTAGCTTAGAAGTCACTAAAATGGAATCCTTAAAATAGATCGCTCTCCTCCTGCCTGTACTCGGTTTTATGATTAATTTAGTACTTCGAAAGGAAAGTGGTTTTACATATTGAAACATTCTTTACAGAAAAAAGAAGTCTATTTGATATTTTAGCATCCAACGTTTCTCTTTAAGGCAAACTCCTTTTCTGCACACGAGGCACCAAGAATCTTGCTGCTTCTTACAAGCAACAGGTAAGTCAAATGTACATTTTTTTGCGGTGTAATTTACCTTGAAATTAACCTACTTATATTTAGAAGAAGGGCACAAAACTTTTCAATAATGAACACTACACAATGATTCACTTTCATGGTTAAATGACACATACAGTCAATTAATCAGATAGATGCACAGATCGTCAACCTTTTTATTTCCCTCGCCAGGCATTACCGAGCACCTGCCATGTGCTGGGCATTCACATGCGGTAGAGATGCAGTCGGAAACAGCAAACATGTAAGAACACAGAGATGGCGTCAGATGACGGCAAAGCTAATGAGCAAGTAAAGCAAGGTGGTGAGGAGTGCAGGGGGTGGAGGGAGCACAGCCAAGTTAAAAAGGGTGCAGTTGTTTTTTAAAATCTGTCTTCAAAGATCTTTGGTTTCAATCGGAGAGAATATGTGAATTAAGATGGAGGCGGACAGAAATGCGATTTACCTCCCTGCCCAATGGGAAAGAATTGCATGCAATACTGGGTGAGACTGAGGTTAAGAAGTCTCTTTCAGAGCCAAATATCAGATGAGTATTTCCTATGTCAAAAAAGGGCTGGATGATTAAGCCTGAGAGAATTAAGTGGTGCTGTTCAGTTTCTTTTCATCATCTTATGATCTCACCAAAAATAATGTCCCTACTTCCACCTCCAATTGAAATACAGTTCTTAAAATAAGAAAGCAGTTCAATGCAAAAACTCAACATTTCATTCTACATTTGATCAAAGAATATGTACCACATAATATCCACAAATAAATATATAAGTCTGAAACCAATTCTGTCAATAAAGACTGGCGAAATTAGATCCAAGTAAATACTATAAAATTTTGTAAAACATAAAAACAGGATATAGCAAATAAAAAAATCAATAGGTTTCTTTTTAAAATCAGATGTATGCACACACAGCGCTAGACTTGCAAATAAATTTTCTCAAGAGTGTTCTGGCAGAGATAAATATTTTTCCATTGATATACATACATGTATTAGAATTAATTTAAAACCAACTGTTCTTCAGGTATGAAAATAATTCCACTATTCTATTGGACTCACCTAATAAATTGCTAAAGGCTCTTTAAAATTTTAATTAAGGGCGAATAAAAGGCCCTTCAGTCACTAAGTGTCCCTGATGAGGAATGATCAGTGCCAACATTTTAAAAATGTATGTGTCTTCTTCTTACTATTATTTTTTTTAATCCTCACCTGAGCATATGTCTACTGATTTAAAAATATATATATATTTTATTGATTTTCCACAGAGAGGAAGGGAGAGGGATAGAGAGCTAGAAACATCAATGAGAGAGATACATCGACTAGCTGCCTCCTGCACACCCCCATCGGGGATGTGCCCGCAACCAATGTACATGTCCTTAACTGGAATTGAACCTGGGACCTTTCAGTCTGCAGACCGACGCTCTACCCACTGAGCCAAACTGGTTTCGGCTAGCTGTCTACTGATTTTTAAAGAGATAGGAAGAGACAGAGAAATGCCAGTTGGGGAGGAGAAGGGGAAGGAGTATCGGGGAAGGGGGAGGGGGAGAGAAACGCCCTGACCAGGGATGGAACATACAACCTCGGTTTGTACCCTAAACAGGAATTGAACTTGCAGCCTTTTTCAGTGCACAGGACAGCGCTCCAACTGAGCCACCTGGCCAGGGCTATCCCTTTTGATTTAAAACCCACACCTGCCTCCACTTCTCACCTTAATTCTTTCCTTGAGAAGATCAAAACAAGTTTATCCTCTCCCTGCCAACCTGGATAGGTGGCTTTAAATTCCCTCTCAAGGCTTCTCTGCTCTAGTAAAGTGCCCGCTTCCTTCAAGTATTTCTCATGTGATCACAGCACCGACTGTTTTGAGGCTGCACACGTCTCACTTCATTCACACCTCACCTAGAATCTATACCCAAAGTGAACGACTCCATCCCTTCACTTTAAAAATGCTCTTCTTGAATGCCGAAGCTTAACAATTAGTCTCTTAAGTAAGCCCATGTCTTCTGTCTTCTGCTTGTAGCAATGATTTTCTGACCTTACATGAAGCTCTCAGAAGTCATGCTGAGTCATTTTTAGCATTATTTACCCTTATTTATTTTTAAAGGGATGGACCATAACGCCCACAGATACTAGATTTTTAAACAGCTAGTTTGTGGAGTGTTTTTATAATAGCAGGTTCATTCAGTCCTGGTCAAGGGACCATGTGAGAAGGTGTTAGAAATGCAGCCTTCTAGCCTCCAGACTACGAATCAAAATCTCTGGGATGGAGCCTGGGGACCTGCAGCATACCGAGTCCTCAGAGACGGTGGGGCTTACGTCTGAGCCTAAAGATTCCAATTGGGTTTTTAAAAAGACACTGTAAGCACCTCACCTGTAATCCAGGAAGGAAGCGACTGTCCTTTTCCACCACCAGAAGTTCAGCAATGCCGGCATTGAGGATGGACCTTGTGATTCCCCCTGGCCCGGGGCCGACTTCGTACACATATGCGTTTGTCAGATTGCCAGCTTTCTTAACAATTTTATCTGGAGAAAAGAAACTTTCAGTTATCTCAATTATCTTGGCAAATTTTGGTGTATGGCATTAAAAAAAATGCAAATTCTTATCAGCCATTACCTAATCAACTAACCCTTTATATACAATTATTAATCCAGTTATTTAACTCTCAACCTCAACCAACACATAGTGGCCATTCATTATCCTATCACATCACTGTTGAAAAGTACCAGTCCTTAACAAAAAATAGGACTGCCGTGACAAATGTCTTCAGCCTAAATTGGCCTAACATTGTAGTTTATGTTCTTCCTCCAAACCATCATTTCCTAAGAAGGGGCTGGTTAAGCATGCACTCCTTTAAAAAAAAAATAAAAATATTTTGATTTTTGTACAGAGAGGAAGGGAGAGAGATAGTTAGAAACATCGATGAGAGAGAGTCATCGATCAGCTGCCTCTTGCACACCCCCTACTGGGGATATGCCCGCAACCAAGGTACATGCCCCTGACCAGAATCGAACCTGGGACCCGTCAGTCCCCAAGGCGATGCTCTATCCATTGAGCCAAACCGGTCTTGGCAAGCATGCACTCCTTTTTAACACTTGTTGAGCATCAAATATCTGAATTGGACAAGACTAGTTTCACATTGAGAATTTTCCATGTTGCTCTTTTAAAATGCAGAGGCAAAAAGTGCTGGCAGTCTCCATTTTTACCTCTCTATCTCTGGCTGCTGGACCATATGGCACTAGCAACAAGTTTATAGTTCATAAGACTTGAAAAAATTGGGGTTCTTGGCCGTTTTCAGTTAGAAGTTAAATTTAGCAATGGAGGTTTTTAAGCTTTGCAAACATGCAAGTTGATATGGAAAAGTTAAAACTGTAAAATATTCATCTACTTCTTTAAGTTAGCAGACCTTAAGAAATCTTGGAAAAGCAGATTATGGCGGATTCAATACAAGCAATCGTCACTCTGAAACACATACAACCGGCTGGTCTTACTGACCCAGCTATTAAAACAAGCCAGTGGGCCTCCTGGCACCGTGGCAATGCAGTCCCCGAAAACAACACCCTTCTTGGCAGTGCTCACTGACACCGTCTAGTCCCATTTCTGCTCCTGTGATTGAGAACTGACCTCTGTAGGTTTACAGCGAGAAAGCCCCTCATCCCTCCAAAAACAGCTCTGTCTGTTCCAGGTGCAGGAAGGCCTGGCACCGCTGGCCATCTGTTTGGCACAGGTGCTGCCCAGGCTTTCTCACGACAAACCCGCATGACACGCTCACTATCCCCCTTCCACTTCTCTGACTTGTCATCCCTCCCATTTTATGTGAACGAGGTCGTCCAGAAAGCAAGTGAAGAGCAGGGGTCCCGCTCAGGTGAAAATTCCAAAGCTGATCCTTAAATTCCAAAGCTGATCGTTGCCTGGGTGTGGACCAGTGTCTCTCAGAGGGAAGAGGCGGTACATTAAGCACAGGCGTGATGGAGGGGATTAATATTCTCACTTTTAAAAATGGAGAGCGGCCGAAACCAGTTTGGCTCAGTGGTAGAGCGTCGGTCTGCGGACTGAAAGGTCCCTGGTTCGATTCCGGTCAAGGGCATGTACCTTGGTTGCGGGCACATCCCCAGGTAGGGGGTGTGCAAGAGGCAGCTGGTCGATGTTTCTCTTTCATTGACGTTTCTAGCTCTCTATCACTCTCCCTTCCTCTCTGTAAAAAAATCAATAAAATATATTAAAATAAATAAATAAATAAAAGTGGAGAGCGGTAGCAGGCAGGTCAGTGCCTTCTTCACGTACAAATGCCATCTCAGAGGCACAGGCAGTTCGCTAAGCCTGGGTTCAGTCTTCTCTGCTCCCACTGAGCTTCTCACCTCAGACAAGTACCTTCACGTCCCTTCCTTTTGGTCCCCATTGAAGAAAGAAGATTCGGAAATTCACTCCCCGGGGAGAATAAAAGGCTCAAGGAGAAAGTACAGATGAAGAAATCTTTAAAAAAAATATAAAGACCTATATTTTCAGTCCTGAGAAGGGTGCTTTATACCTAGAACATGGCTCATGACTGGCGGAAAAGGCTGATTCTGGTTACCACCAGAACCAAATAACTGTAAGGTTGTGACTTGTAGGACCGCCCTGCAATCCACGCATTAAAAAACGGAAGCAGAATGAAGCTGTTTCACCCCAAGTCCTCTTGCTCCTGACAGAATAAAGGCTCCAAGCCCAAGAAATAAAACTTCTTAGTTGTGCTTTGTGGACGGTACTTAACTGAACTGACAATGAACTTGTTGGGTGTGATGGACTGATCTTCTCAGCTCCTGAGGCCCTGGGGGCCAAAGAGGACATCAAAACCTCAAAAACGGAGTGTGCTCCAGCAGTGGGATCAACGGGCACATCTGTCGTGTGTTCCTGCAGCCTCGTCCTGGGGAGCACCCCGAGGAAACAGGGGTGAAAGCAATGCACCCATTTGCGAAGCTCATCCACCTGTGCGCTTCGCACTGGGGACCGGCACTGCGTGGCGAGAGGGGAGCGTCCACTCGCTGACCCTGAGCCCCGCGGGCAGGCCCGGCCCTTCTCACTCGGGCACCTGCAGGGCTTGTTCCACACGCCTCTACCGGAGGAGAGCTGGCGCCCTCGGGTCTTCTTAGGCGCCACAAGGGAACGTTTGACACTCCGTTGAGACAAGGAATGGATAAACCCAACCCTGCACAAACCTAAATCGGGGTACCTTCGGGCGGAAAGCAAACCTAGCCAGCACGTGCAGCCCCATCTCAGTGTCAACACACCCGCCTTCCCCGGCACCGCCCCTACTCCCTCTCCCCGTCTCCCTCCCCCAGCACCGGCCCGCTTTGGGCGGGACAGTCCCGATTCCTAACAATTTTCCCTCCGGGACTTTTTTTTAAAACGCCGAGGGACGCGGGAAAACTTGTTAGAAATCTGGACTGTCCCGCCCAAAGCGGGGCGATCTGGTCACCGTAGCCCTGCACACGCCCGGGCGCAGGGGTCCGGGCGGCCACTACGTCCCTCGCGTCTGCGGGACGCGGGGTCGCGGCGAGCGGAGGACGGGCCTGGCTCGGGGCCGGACCCTGACCCTGACCCTGACCCTGGACCCCGCCCGCAGGAGGCGCGAGCCCCGCGCCCCACGCCCCCCTCGGCGGGGCCGCCATCCACCTGTCAGCCTCAAGTCCAGGAGGAAATTCTGCGAGAGCTGCTTCGCCGCCTGCAGTTTGAACAACTTAATGATTTCCCGAATCGTGGGCAGCGGCGGGAGGCGGAACGTGCCGAGCGCCCTGGAGGCCGCCATGAGCCTCCGCGGGGCCGCCCCAGCCGCACGCGGACCCGTTTCTGCGGCTCGGGGCGCGCTCGGCGGAGGGAGGCGGAGCCTGGAGGGCTAGGGCCCGCCTCCGGGATCCCCTCATTGGTCGACAGTCCCCGGCCGGAACTTGAGCGCGGACCGGAAATCCGGGCGCTCTCGGCGCGCAGGCGCAGGTCCGGCTAGAGGCGGTGCAGGTAGGGGGTCCGCCTTCCCTCCGCCTGTCCCCGGTGGGCGGGGCGTGGGCGGGGCGTGGGCGGGGACACGGAGGGGACCCGAGGTCGCGGTAGCCCCGCATGCAGCCTGGGGTGATGGGACGTTCATAATAGTTGCACGCAGATGCTTAGATATAAAACCACCGGTTGTTAACAACTCTCTAGCCCAGTGGTGGGCAAACTCATTAGTCCACAGAGCCAGAGGTCAGCAGTACGGTTGACATTTCTTTGGAGAGCCACATGTTTTAAACTTAAACTTCTTCTAACGCCACTTCTTCAACATAGACTCGCCCAGGCCGTGGTATTTTGTGGAAGAGCCACACTCAAGGGGCCAAAGAGCTGCATGTGGCTCGAGAGCCGCAGTTTGCCGACCATGGCTCTAGCTGGTTTGGCTCACTGGGGGGAGTGTGGGCCTGCGGACTGAAGGGTCCAGAATTGGATTCTGGCCCAGGGCCCATGCCCAAGTTGTGGACTTGTAGCGGGGCGTGTAGGAGGCAGCCGATGGATGATTCTCATCATTGACGTTTTTCTCTCTCTACCCCCCACCCTTCCTTCATCTCTGAAGTCAATAAAAAATATATTAAAACAACTCTGTCTCATGGTTAGATGTGTATGGGACCCGGAGGCGGGCCCTAGCCCTCCAGGCTCCGCCTCCCTCCGCAGGGCGGATGGCAGGTTTCTAACTTCTCTGAGCCTTAGTTTTTCCACCTGTTAAGTGGACAGAATGTCTGCCTTAAAATGGTGAGCACTAAACGAAAGAGGTTGCTGGGTGGGTGGATTCAGAACCTAGTGTAATGCGTGGCATATGGTAAACCTGCAACCCAGGGCAGCTGTGGCTACTATAATCACCCAGCAGGTGAATGCACCTAGGGATTTAATTTTAAACTGTCAGCACGGTTTGTTAGTGAGAGGGTGCGAAGTAGAATCAGCTCTTCCGTCCCTTTAACATGTACACATCAGCGAGAAAAACTGACTTGTTCAGTACATGAGGCTTTAGGAAGTGTTTTTGTGTATATTGGATATTTGTTCCTGAACTTTTCACTGACAGTATTGTGAAATCAACAGAATAAGAATTACTAGCCTGAGTTTAGAGCAGAGGAAACAAAAACTCGGGTCATATAACTTAATGAAATTTATAAAGCTTGAAAATTTCTGGTACCCAGATCCAATTTAAGCTTCCCGACTTGCATGATGGCTGCTCTTGCTATTAATCTGCTTTGCATTGAGTATTATTGCCTTGTTTACTTTCCCCCAGTTTTCTTATTGGGGGAAAAGCATATTTTCTTATGCTTCAAGTGTTCAGCCTCTACTCACAGAACAGGAAAGCCAAGGACGACAGGGAAGGAACATAATAATAATAATAGCCAACATTTGTTGAGCTTTTCCCAAAGTCCCAGACTTCACAGCTGAGCGCTTTACAATTATTACTTCAATAAGTGTTACAAAACAAAGTTTTGCCCTAGGCTGCTGCACAACTAACAAGTGGTGGGCTCAGGATTTGATTCCATACGTTTGTGTCCAGAGCCTTCTTTTTAAGCAGTGCAATCAGCGTGGAGAGGTCATTTGACTTGCTTAGGATGCTACATCCAAGTACAGAAAGGAGGCTCAAATGTGAGTTCTCTCTCTCCATTTTACCAGAGAAAACAACAAAGCAAAGAAATATCAAATCTGTCTGATAGGGTAAATTAGCTTTTCTAATCCTTTTTGCAAATTGCTGCATTGATCATAAGTGAATTTTTTTTTAATTTTACTTCTCAGAGTAGTAAGTTTAAAATAAAGCTAATGGACAACCAAGTAACTATGGGTATGACATGGAAAACCCAGCTACCTTCTGTTATAGTTATCTTAGGAGGAACTGGAGATAATCTGACACAGCTTCTAGCTTTAGAAAATTGGGATGTGATTCCCATAGAGGTAAGATGGTTTGCCCAAAGTGGCATAGAGATGTAGGCTGAAAGCCTAAACTCTTGATTCAGAGCCCTTATTGGAACCAAAACATACTATACCTGGGAAGGCATTCACTCGCAGTTACAGTCATTGTTTCACGTAGTCCTCACAATAATCCTATGAGGATCAGATGCTTATCCTGATTTGACTGAGAAGAAATAGAGGTGAGGGCATTTGACTTGTCCAGGATGCACAGCAAAATGCAGAGAGATTTAACCTGTTTTTCTTTTCTGAGTTCTGAACTCATGGGCCACACACCGCAAGTATTACATTTTTAAAGTTAATTATTTAACCAATATATGATAATTTTATAATGTTATGTAAGTCTATACAATTTAAATCTGAATAAACTAAATTTACAGTTTTCATGGGATTAACTAAAACACAGTTAAAATAAGTATATGCAAAGCTACAAACCAACACAAATGACACAATGTTAAGTCACTGCTGATTGGTAGGATTCTTTTGTAAAAAATTCAGTACTGTCCATCCAGTGTTGCTCACTGGTTGAGCATAGACCTATGAACCAGAGGTGATGGCTCAATTCCCCATCATGTCTGGGTTTCAGGCTCAATCCCCAGTCTGGGGCATGCAGGAAGCAGTTGATCTATGATTCCCTCTCATCATTGAGGTTTCCATCTCTCTCTCCCTCTCCCTTCCTCTCTGAAATTAAAAAAAAAAAAAAAAGTCCAGTACCAATGTGCCATGTAATGATTGAATTTTCTTATCAGGTTTCTGGATCCAAACTAACACCAAATCTTCGTGCAGAATGTTGGCCATGGTCTCTTGCCTTTCTCTTAAAGGAGCATAGAAGCTACATATAAGTCCGCTTGGGTTTATTTTCATTAGCATGGAAACAAAGTGGAATTACTTGGCACAGATGCCATCCTTAATACACAGCTTGCATAGCAATAATCAGGAGAAAGTTCAGGCGACTCAGAATGTGCCCACACAAACTCTTAAAAGATTAACACCAGCGTAAAAAGCAAACAAAAAATTTAAAAAGAACAAAACCACATTTCCACGGAAAATCTGAGGATTCCCAAGAACTTGTCCCCAGATCTCAATATGAGAATTATTGTCTTATTCCACGCCATCTTAAATACTCAACATTTGTGAGGTTATGACCTATAGTGACAAAGCAGTTTCTCACGTTACTTCACTTAATTCTCATTTGAATCCCTAATGTAGGTTTACAGAGATACTCAGTGAGCACTGCTACAGGCCAGTGAGGGTGCAGTTGAGTCTCAAATGCAGGTCTTCTGAGGCTGTTGTACCTTGGGTATGTGTTAGATAATCGTTGAACTGAATAAAAAAAAAAAATCCATCCTAGGAGAATCTTCCAAGTTTTTACAGTTCTTGAGATCTAATTTTTATCATCATAAATGTCTGATTCTCAGTCTTTTCATTTTCAGAAAATTATGCATTACTCCCTACAAAGTGCATGGAATCAGCAGGGGGTGTGCTAATAGTGTATTTCACATATTAATGCAAATAGTTTTATCCCTGAAAAGAGAAGTGTGCCGTTTCATCAGTTTTGAAGCTTTGAAGTATCTGCTTCATCTCAAGAAAGATTTTAATATGCTAAAATATTGTAATTAATTCAGAAACGACTAGCTCCACCTATCAGTGAAGATGAAGAATAACAAGTGATCCTAAGTGATACCAAGGTAGAATGCACAAATTCTAATTTGCACAAATCCCAGAATGGTGATCTAGGAAAATTACTTATTATTATTTTAGCATTTATTTTAATGTAAATGAATATGTCACTTCATTTGGTATAAGTAGTTTAGCGCCTACTTATAGAGAAAGTGCTATTTCTAAAAGATTATCATTTCAGTTCCCTGAAAAGAGGCGGGGAAGCCACAAAGAGCAATATTTTCCTGCCACAAGGGAATTTCCGGAGAAAATTAAATGTGGCTTAGAATTGCCAAATTGAACTTTACAAAATGACTATTATGTAAAGTGCCCTTTTCTGATAGTATTGTATAATTCTGCATAATAGGACTCCGTGCTCCAGAGAAATATTAAGAGCTGCATTTTACACATATTGAGTCCTTGTTAATGGCTGTTTGATGCCCATTGCTCACAGAGGAGTGACCTACCTGGTGGGAAGGAGAAAGTGCAGGGTAATTCCGAGCAGACAGACCAAACACTTTCTCTGTGGGGACAGAAGCCGGGCCATTTATGGCAAGCAGCACAGGTTAATTGCCTGAGGGGACCATGTGACAGTTATAACTATTCTTTAAATCTAGTGAGTATCACTGGCCCCGGCAGTATTTGAAAGCCTCCTGATTGTCCCCGAAGAAGATGGATGAATTATTGCCAGGACCCTAACGGGCTGATGAGGACAGGCAGCCCTTTCTGCTCAGGATAAGTCAACTTGGGTTTTTCCTCCGCAACAAAGCAAATTGTTTGTGAGTGGAGAAAAGGTCAGCACCTCCAAAGGGCATTGTAAAAGTAAACTAGCCTTTTTATGCTAAGAGTTTATTAGTGTGCCTCAACATTTAATTGAAGAAAGGTTAAGAATAAATAAAACTATGAGTAGGAACACATTTGTGGTGGCTTTTCCATGCGTTTACAACTATTCTGTGAATGGGGAGGCTCTGGGTTCAACCATTTGGGTCTCCTTGGACATCTTGGTGACAGCTCCCCACCCCGCCCTAGCAAAAGGATCGTGGGTGGACTACTACGTAAGGCCACACCTATCCCTTCTTTCTCTGGCCTATAGTTGCTCCTCTCTACCCCAATCCTGGCAGGGCTCCTGTGTGCACAGTTTTCCAGACAAGCCAGTGAGTTGGTGTGAATATATAGCAACTGGCTGCC